GTGCTTCATTTCAATTTATGGAAGGAAGGAAGGAAGGAAGGAAGGAAGGAAGGAAGGAAGGAAGGAAGGAAGGAAGGAAGGAAGGAAGGAGAAATAACAAAGATAAACAATCAGTCGTGCCTGAAGCTATGTAATGCTGCAAATCACAATCTGAAGAACAGGCTCTCAGAAAGGGACTCAAATTAGTGTGTACCTGAGCAGTTGTATTGTTAGCTACAGCTTTTCCTGGGGAAGAGGGTGTTGAATGCTGCACTGTGAGAATCTGCTGTCCCAGGGCTACATTTAGAGGAACACCAACTGTTTTCTGTGGGGAGCTTGGAGGCTGCGAGGCGACCGACACCACGGTTAGCTGCTTAACAGGATCACACAAGTACAGAATCCCAACTTCAAAATATGTAACATTGAAAATGCATAAGAGGTCAAGATTTTCCACAATATTATACAGTGGTGTCATCTTGGCAGGATTTGGGGGCAAAATGAGAAAGGGGACCCCAGATGCAGTGGGGCTGCTTTACTCTATTTTAGAAAAAAGTAATCCTATTATCAACCGGGGCAGAGAAGGGAGGGTGGGTGGCAGCTACAAGTCTGTTAAATCCAGAGTTTGCATTGTTGTACTGATATATCTGCATTACTTCACTAACAACAAATAATATTTTCTGTCAGATCCATTTTACTTTGAGGATTTGTGAGTTTCCCTTTAGCACATGATCCCATGGCAGAATGATGCCAGAGAACAGATAATGCTAAAATAGTGGAAAACAGCCAGAGCACTTTAGAAAGTCCATTTCAGAATCAGACTTAGTTTAAGTGGAGCATATCTATAAATTGCAATTATTTTCACACCATTTCATGCATGCAAACAGGAGAACGGCCTGCAGAATTTCTTAGTAGTATATCTCAGAAATTTATAAAAGCAACTGAAATGTAAATTTTACCTTGTTAGGGGATTTCAAAGGAGAGATAGCTATCTTATTTGGTGCCTCCTGCATTGTAGAACTTAATGTTGTCCCAATAACTCCACTTTCTGATATAGTTACAGTTTTTGGAGGTGTCCCTGGAGCTGTCTGTGTAAGAACTCTACCTGTAGAAAAACAACGAGAACTGATGATTATAGGTTATAATCTTACCCATCTTCTCAGCAAATAGAGTGCTAGCTTTTCTGGTAAAGGAACATTTCCATTGAAGGCATTAGCCCTTTCCATGGCTGCTCCACAGGATTTTGGCAGGCCACTTAACTTTAAAAATAAAAAGACAATCTAAATCTACACTCCTGCAATCATCACATTTTGTGGCACCAAGTTCCATAAAATATATCACATACTTCACTGATTTATTTCTCTCTCTTGAATAGCCTACCTACTTAAATGCTTTATTTAAAAAAAAAAAAAAATTAGAATAGCTTAGCAATCAAAAACAAGTGTAATACAGGTAGTCCTCGATTTACAACCACAACAGGGACCGGAAAAGTCATCGTTAAGCAGTGCGGCCTTTGAATGAGGCATCATGTGACTACACCCAATTTTATGACATTTTGATGGTGGTCATTAATCAAATCACCATGGTCGTTAAGTGAATCACACAGTCTTTTGTCTTTTGAACAAGTACAATTTTTTATAGTAATACATCTAACTATAACCCCAAAATGCTGATACAGTCTCAATTACAATTCTGGCCTTAAGAATTTGTTAAGCATCATAAAATACAAATGAGATTTTTTATTAATCTGATCAAATATCCAAGATAAGTTTACACCAGAATTTAACTCCCTTTCCTCTGCAGCCCACCCCATGTGTGTTTTGTAACTGAAACTGCAAATTTTTGCCCCTGAATCTCTTCTGTAGTAAGAAAGAGAAGCAATTAATGTTGATTTTAAGATTAAAATGACTATTTGTTTTTCTTGAGCAAAAGAAAAAAGTAAGTAATTCCAAACATTGTTGCATGCACTGAAAAAAAAAGATTTTCTAAGTCAAAACAAATTGAACTAATACAAAAATAGGAAGTATTTATTTATTTATTTATTTATTTATTTTTATATTTATTGGATTTCTCCACCGCCCATCTCCCGCACAATAGGTATGCTGAAATGTGGCAGTAATGCTTCATGTACAATCCATACATTGATTTCTTAGCAACAAAATTTATCCACATGGATTAACAGAAATGACAGCATAATTCAAAGCCAACCAAGAATGCACTCCTGTACTTTATCACATATTCATAAAATAGCAAGCTTTCTATATTTAGCACATGGTAAGATGATTGCCTGTATTCCCACACAATCAGTCCAAGATCTGAACTTCTGAGGAAAAGATAAGACTCTAAACTTTTATATACTTTCTACCTGGCTAGAGAACTATCTGAAAAACAAGGCAGGAACAGTCATTTTATGGCTGGCATTCAAAGCCCCCATGCCTAGAAAAATGTTTATTTAAACCACAAAAGAATGAGCTTACAAATCCCACTCCCTTTTACACTGAGTGATGCTCTAGAGCAGCTTTCCTCAAAATAACACCATCCAGACTTTTGGATGACAACTCCCAGAATTCCCAGCCAGCTGGGCCTTTTGGTTGCATTAACTGGGCATTCTGGAATTTATCACCCTACTAATATCAGATGAATAGCATCAGGTCTAGTGCAGGTTTCCCTGATTTGGGTGCCCTCTAAAGGTAAGGACCAACTCCCAGACTTCCCCCACCAGAAGTACTCTGCGGAGTTGAAGCTTAAATGTCTGGAAAGTACCAAGATTGAGGAAAGCTGTTCTAGGGCTTTCTGTCACCTAATACCCTCCTGATGTTTGGGGATGATATTGTTTTCAGGAATTTCAAGAAACCAGGAGTGGAAAAGGATTGAAAATCTCCTATGAAACCAAAATCCATCAAATGTCAGTTTATACTTCCAGTTCACTTTTTACACCCTGGGTAAACAGCACAATATAAAAAGCCATGAATATATATTTTATATATAAACCTGCAATGACTGGGGATACTTGAGTTGTCTGCCCTGTAACTGCTTTGCTATTGATTGGTTTTGTGATGATCAGTTTCGTTATCACTGGGGCTGAGGTTGGTGTCCTGGTTTTCTTCGCAATCTAAAAAACAATAAGAAATCCAATAACCATTCATTTCTTAAGTGAACCCAAACTACAGTACTTAGAAACAAGGGGGGGCCAGCCCTGCCCCCACTCTACAAAAAGAACCCCAAAAAGTAAAAGTAAAAGAGCAGCCCAGACCATTCCTATCACATTAAAGCTACATTGATAGGACAAGTATTCATTAGTACTGGGAGAGGATCCAGCCAATGAGCAATGCCTGTGGCCTGAACAGTCCTGGTTCTTTGTGGAGTTGCTAGGTGCATAATAATTTAAGAAAGAGAGAGTCCCTGGCCCAAGGCAGTTACAATCTTAATGAACACTGCATAACATATGCAGATGATGGGGGGAGTGTAACAAAGGGATGGGAGGCAAAAATAAAGGACTCAGTTGATAGGTTCACACATTGGTTTGGTTATTACATTTATATCCTTCCATTCTGAATAAGAATCTTCCCAAACTGGCTTACAAGCAATATAGACAATTGTAAAGAAAATTTCAATAAATATTATTTTAAAACAACAAACTTATATTATCCTTTACACAGAGCAGTTGATGGTAATGGCTGTGCTGGAAGCGAGGGAAGAGGCCTGTTGAGCCAGTGTTTCAGGTGATTGCTGCTTGCCTTCCTCCCTTGTTCTTGCTCCACAATTTACTGAATAAACCACAATTGGCTGGGTTCATACAACATATAAAGTGAAAACCAAGCAAATCTACTATGGATTATTACAACATGTGAACCTAGTCAATTCCAAAAATTAGCTGAACGCAATAATACATTAAAGGCAGCATTACAACTATCAGCAGATTCTTTATTTTTAGATGCAAGTTTTCAGAGCAGAATGAATGAATGCCAGTTTTCTATTAAAAGAACTAGAGTTTTAGTCTATTTAAGGTTCCTTGAAGCAGCAATTTTTACTCAGCAGTCTCTGGGGAATCATTATACTTTATTTTCCTTAATCAAATGCTAACCTGTAATGAACAAAAAACTGTACTGGACAACTACAGAGACGACAAAACAGATGTCTCTGTAGTTGGTCAAAAAGGAAAAATGTTTTGAAGCTAAATACCACTGATAATAATCTCTATTTAAGAAAAGCTCCACCCATGCTTTGAAAGCAAAAAGCTAATTACGACGAAAGCAGAGAATGAAAAATTAATTAGACTTCAGGAGCAGGCCTGTGCAGACCTTCTCATACCACATTCTCCCATTCTCCAAGAATGTAGAAGCTAAGCCACAAATAAGAAATACAAGGAAGTAAGAGTGCAAAGAAATGTGAATTTCTATTATTCTGTGAACATGAAATATTCTCCAGTGCAATACATTCAGAAGGCATTCTACATCAGTCTAGATTTTTAAGAAGCAACAAGATGCCGCACAGATTCAGGTGGGAAAATGGACTAAAACCAGCTGCCAGAACCAAAGGAATATTCTTCAGACACAGGCATGAAGACTTACAGTTCTTGAGCTTATACAGTAGTTAACTTCATGAATCACTGCTATACTGAACTTGGGATTTGTGCATATGTTTATATGCTTGCATATATAGTTTTCACACCTTCTCAGATTTTCTTCACATACCGTGTATTTTCATTCACTGCACCTGAACAAGACAAGCCTTAAGCCTGGTCTCCAAACCGCTAACATTTACTTCTAGTAATCATCTGTTTGATTGATTGATTTAATTTAGAGAGCTGATCAACTCCATAAGATTCTGGATAGCATGCAACATTAACAAATGTAGAAACCAAAATAATAAGAAAAAAACAGTGTATGTCCCAGAAGGAAACATTCAAACTAACAGAAGAGACTCACCACCTCACCAAAGCAAGACCTGGGAAAAAGTCAAGTTTCCAAAGTCTTGTAATGTTGAGGAAGCACTTTCTGTTATGTGCTGCTACATACCCACCTCAATGGGAAGTTAGTCTATTATTTAAAATTACTCATCACCTCCACTGCATTTTAACGTCCTTGCTTTACAACTTGCTCTTCATAGATTTACTGGGGCTCTTTTACCTGGCCAACCGTGTTGAGGAAGCACTTTCTGTTATGTGCTGCTACATACCCACCTCAATGGGAAGTTAGTCTATTATTTAAAATTACTCATCACCTCCACTGCATTTTAACGTCCTTGCTTTACAACTTGCTCTTCATAGATTTACTGGGGCTCTTTTACCTGGCCAACCGTCCTCCAAACATATTGCTGCCACCAAAGGGAATTCCCAATAGTACAGCAATTTTATTGCAAAGAGAATAATTGATAGAAGTCATTCTTACCTGCACTGCTTTTAATTGCTGGGTCTGCAGTACAGATGACTGGGTTGCAGTATTTACCAGTTGGCACCCTGGAGTCAAGGTAGATACACCAATGACGGGTTTCACCTCTGGCCTTCCTCCAATTGTGACCACCTTGAATTGCTGTGCTGAAACCTTGGAGTCACTTGCTTGTACTTGTGATGTGGTCTTCTGAGTCTGTGACAGCTGGTTGTGGGGTAGCGCTAAGACAATTGGTTGTCCAGGCTTGCCCAGAGTTGTTACTATGAGTTTTTGACCTTCCTGCTTTATGGTCTGTTTACCAATTTTCAAGTCAGTTGCCTTGTTAAGAATAATCTGATTGGCTGATAGAGAGACAGGAGTCTGGGTACCAAGTTTTTGGAGGCCACTTTGAAAAGAAGGTTGTGCAGTCACACCAGCATCAGATTTTACAAAGGCAGGATTGCCAGTAACATGGGTCACACAATTGCTGGGCAATGTGACAGATTCTGTAGTGACTGATGATGTGCCAGTAGTAGTATGATCATCAGCAGAGCTTACATTTGCCATTCCCTCCAGTTCCGTTTCCATAGGAATAGAGTCACCCACAATTACAGCCTCGATGTTCTCATCTTCCTCCAATGCTATACCTGTGTCCATGATCTCCTCAGGGAGTAAGCTGTTCACTTCTGCTGACACAACCTCCATTTTGCAGATGTTGACGGTAGGCTCAACAGAAGTCACTGCAGCGATATTTTAAAAAGTTCAATTTTTATGTTCCACAAAACTATACAACTTGAAACATCTTATGTGTCATAGCTGGACAGCATATAATTGTGGAAGTGATATATTAACAACTGTGAATAAATACTTGTCACCATTAGCACCCCTTCCCCCATTAGCTATCTGTTAGTTAATAAGAACAGCTACTAATTATATTGAAAGCAGTATACCTCAGAAGCTAGGAGCATGAGCTGCAAATCAAGACATTCCCAGTTCTAATCACTTATCAGCCATAAATATATTGAATAAGCAAACAGCAAAATCTTTTTCAGCTTCAGCCAATCCGAGGGACCAAGATATACACACCTCTCCTCCCTTCCAACTTAAAGCTTAGGTTTTAATGCTAAGAAAAGTTCCCATTGGCAAAAGCATGACACATATTTGTGAGTGGAGGATATTTTGATTTCATATTACACAGGGAGGGGAGGGTTAAACCTTTTCCCACCAAATATGAACCATAGCCAAATGACAATTAATTCTTAAAAAAAAAACAACCTCCTTTGGCACCAACAGAAGCTTTCAATATACCTAATCACTGCACTGACAGGATTTTTGTTGGAAATCACAGCATGTAGGGGCAGGTTATCTCATCCCTCTTCAACAGTAAACTCTCTGAAAGTGACCCCTGTATACAATATTTATAGATTTATTAAAAAGCTTCCAGGGGCACAAGTGCTGCATGAAGAAACTTGGGTTGAGGCAAGAAGGGGAGCCTGTGACTAGCCAACAAGGCCCTCCAACTCTATTTCTATGAAACAAAATATGTATTATTATTATTACTATTCAGCTTTACAGAAGCAAAGTAGTTTAAAGGATGTTGGGAATTCATACTTACACTCAATATTTTGATGGAAGTGGGAAGGGTATGACATGCTTGGCACATTGACAAATGACTAGATTGGACACTGGCGCTATGCAGCAGTGACAGTAATTCAGTGAAACAGAAGTAAGTATTGATTCTATTCAACATAATTACCTGAATTTCTTTTAAATCCTGCTCCACATCAACATATCTCCAAAACCATCATCGTGCAGCACCATCTGCTGAAGCTACAAAATATAACAATGTTTGTTATTTTCAATTCCAGTCCTAGATTGAGAAAATGCTATGCTGTCAGGATATTCCCCTTCACCTCTGATATTTTTGCCAAGGACACAAGTATATACCAAGCTGATGTCCTCTCTTGGGGAACACAGGCTTCACCTGAACCCTGGCAACACTGAGTGGGTTTTACCATCTTTGGCGCTAGATGGGGTTGCACTGCCCCAGAGATACCTCGTGTGCAACGTGGGGGTTCTTCTAGACTCATGACTCCTGCTCAAAGAGCAGGTGGTGGTTGTGGCCAGGAGTGCCTTTGCACAGCTTCGTTGCGCCCATTCCTGGATCAGGAGGCTCTATTCTCAGTCACTCATGCTCTAGTTACCTCCTGAATGGACTACTGTAACGTGCTGTACGTGGGGCTGACCTGGAAGAGTATTTGGAAACTTCAGCTGGTACAAAATGCTGGGGCAAATGAGATCTACACGCTATACCTCTGCTATGCAAGCTGCATTGGTTGCCAGTTTGTTTCTGGGTCCAATTCAAGGTGCTGATTATAACCTTTAAAACCCTACATGACATGGGGCCAGGTTATCTGAGGGTCTGCCTCTCTCAGATTACATCTGCCCATCCCATCAGATCTGACAGGAGAGACATGTTGTGGATCCCGTTGGCCAAGGAGTGTCGTCAGACCTAAGAATTTTCTGCCGTAGCCCCTGGCCTGTGGAACATCATCCCCCCACCCCAAGGTGAGGCTGGCCCCAACCCTGTTCCAGAAGGCCCTTAAAACATGGTTTGGGAAACTAGTTTAGGGATCCCATGATAGAGTGGAGCTTGCTAGGTGGCTATATGACAATTAACGGAAAGCACTCTCTCTATGTTTTGCCACCATTTTGTTTTTGTTTTTTGTTTTTTTGCTTTTATCTTTAATTTTTTTTAAAAAATTCAAATTATTTGTTTTAATGGTTTTTATATATTTTTATTATTATTATGTACACCACCCAGAGTCACTACATGAGATGGGCAGTTATACAAATGTGATTAAATAAATAAAAAATAAATGTTCTGGAAACCATTATAAAAGATCTGGAGATTCATTAGCTGTGTGGCAGTCTTGTATTGAAACACTTTAAAAAAAACAAAGATGTTCCATGAAAAGCCACCCAGAGTTGTTAAGAGTTGGACAGCATACAAGTTTAATAAATTATTATTAAATTATTATTAAAAGATTGTATCACTAATACAGTTTCAGATATGAATCACAGCACTAGTTATTACAAGAATATTGCAAATAATTACATATTTCACTGAGAAATGTATTTCATAAACGTGGTTAATGAGGTACTGAGGAACAAAGTGAGGATCATAATTTTTCAAAATGAAAAAATGAAAATTATGACCCTGTAAAGATTTGAGAGTAATTTAAAGAGCAGTTCATCCAAGCACCAGTAATAGTTTATTGCCCACAGTGGTCAATTCGTTTATAATCAACCAAGGCAAGGATGGGCAACCTTTTAATGGCCACACATGTTTCAGCATCAAAGTATCAGAGTAGGAGGAGAGATGATGCAAAGTGGGTGGGGTAAGACTTTCTGAAGTGAAGTTCTTGGAGAGTTTCAGGATTTTCTTGTTTTAAAATTATGTTAAGTCTATTTTATACTTTCTGAGTGTTTATTATATCAAAATGGAGGAAACCATGCCATTAATTTCAGCAACTATGGTCAGAGTTGGCTCTGAAAACACCAAAAAAAAGTGAGGGAAGAGGTTCAAGGGGCTACATGCAGACCTCAGCCTCAAGTGACCTCTTCCTGCAGTGACAGTGGATAGTTTCAAGAAAAAATCCTACATGATATATCCCAAATAGGAAATGTGACATACATATAGTGACCCTACAGTAATGTATAAGATGCAAACCACCATAATTTGTTAACGTCCATAATTTGAAGAAAAATATAGCTTATTTGGTTTATAACTACCTGGTTTCCATATACTCAAAATCTGTTGTACATTTTTTTAAAACTGGTTGTACAATCCACCATTTTACTGTACTATTTTTTAAAATTTTTCTGTAGAAATTACCTATCTTCTGAAAAACTCTCCTGTTTTTCAAGATCTGACTTATGCAGAAAAGAAAAGCATAGAACAGGTCTTCATACAACAATTAGTTTCCATTGGAAACAATCTATCTTCCCCTCTTCTCCCAACCTCCTGCCAATTAAAATCTGATTGGGAAATTGAAGAAAAAAATCACAGCAAACAACAGGCAGGTATTCTAATAGTTGGCTATGGTGGGTTCAAAGGAGTCTTTATTTTTAAAGTGTGCTTATTTTTGCAGTTATTTTTGTGGATCATCGAATACTAGAATACACACTGGGAATTTTTGACTTAGAGGAAACACCACAATCTTGTATAATTGAGATATGTGTGTATGTGTGATATACATATAAAAATACTATCAGTTCTATATCTGCCCACTTTAGTATCCATCAACAAGGATGTTATTTTTTTCAACTTGATTTCATCAGAAAATTTATTTCATACAGAAGCCTCTCTGTACATGCAACATTACCCTAGTTATCAGAATACATGACCAGTTGCATTATAGTTCCTCAAAGTTAAATACAAATACCAAAGAGGCCACAACAAACTATTTATATAAAATTTCCATGCATAATTAAAGGATTATCTACAAAGTATTCTGATACATTAATGGAATACTAATAGTTTGGGTTACTGATTACGAAGGTTCTTTATGACTCTGCTTGTACTATTTTATGACTAATAATTAAAACAGGCCACAGGATTAGTAGTTTATTCATTCATAAAACACTGGGCTTGACTTTGGGTTTTTTTTTTTAATTGTTTAACTATGATAACCTGACCAGTTGCTCCACAGTTTAGTGAACAATTTACGTTTATGAGAGCCTTATTTAACTTTGTTAAATATTTAGATTTTAGATTTATAGGCCATGAAATCCAAAGATTATAGGCAGGTTTAATTTAAATTTTATTTGTCATTACTGTGCAAGAATTACTTGTAATTAGCAATATCACTAACCTTGTACCAACTGCTCTTAGACAAAATTTGAATTTACTGACAAATCCTTCTTTGGACTAGTCAAATGTCCAACATCTTTTCAACAGAAACTTGCAGTGTTACTGTAAGTAACACTGACTGAGCTTATAGTTCCTTGTAAAAAAACTTAAGTGAAGAAGTTGGATTGTGAAATACGTTATTTGTAGAATTCCTGAACAGTTTTTGAAGAAGAAAGAAATCTGTAATGCTCTGAAGGGAGTTAACACAATCAAATACACCTTTGGATTACTTTCACAGCATGCACTTACAAAGAAACATACAAGTAGAATCATACATATAGCTATCAATAATGCACATTTACCTATTTCAAAAAAATACACTTGAAACTATGAAGGGAAGAATCTGTTAAATCCAACTATTTTGTAGCTACATTACCAACTAACGTAATATATGAAAAGTAAAATGGCTTTTTATGCCAATCAGCACTGTATCTGAAATATATATTATTCTGCAGAAATGATGTTATTCCAATTTGGCTATTAGTTTTCTGTAGATCTCATGTACTACTTTGTGTGTATGTATGTGTGTATATATGTCAATAGATACTATAAGCCCAAAATAAACCATGCTGTGGCTTAAGTGCTATGTGTAAACCTTATTTGGTTTAGGAAAGGAACAGGAGAGAAAGACACTTCTTAGATTCTACAAAGTAGTCTGATGGGACAGTAAGTAGATCAGACTGATTGAACTCACTGCAGTAAAGAGATCTCTATAGTCTATTCCCAGAATTAACACTTTCCAGAGGGAAGCTATGTTAGCCTTTTGCAGTAAACAAAATACTGTAAGGCCAGTCTTACGGCATCTAAAAGGCAAATAAATTAAGTAGGTCATAAGCTTCCATGGACTATAGTCTATTTTACATTTTTTTAGTATTATCAGATACCTGCATAAAACATATGCATGGATAAGGATAGGAGAAACAGTAAAGAAAGAAAAGTGAAACCAAAGGCAAAAAGCAATAATTGCCTACAGTTAGCAACTATTTACAAAACATCTTTTGGATGTGAAACACCCTTTCATTGGTGAACTAATTAACATATTATCTTAAGCAGCTTTGGAATCCTTTGTTTCTGTTTAATCATTGCATGAACCGTAGCTCACATATTTTGCAGTGAAATTGTTCTTTGTAATTTTTGGGGGTTGAGAATGGATTCTTCAAGTCAATGATAGAGTCTTGGAAAGGCAAAGTATTCATTATTTGTTTAAGGAAGTTGACCTTTCTGAGTATCCATTTGGTATCTACAATGGGCAGTTAATTCTATATAGAATGCAGTATAGAGTTGCTGACATACTAAGGTATAAATCAAACAATAAACTGACTACTTGTGGACATACAAGATTAGGACCTGTAGTAGTGTTGCCAGTTTAAACATGAAGAGGTGAGCATCTACATATGCTGCAAGGTTTGGTTCCTGTGTTTATATCACTGTGGCTGGTTTGTTGCCTGTAAGCAAGTACAAACGACCAGCCACGGCCTATGAAAAGGAAATACCACTATCCAAAATGGGCTGAAGAGCATAAATTGTACATTTGAGTAGTTTTTCCTGTAAACTATAGGTAACAAAGGCTGTTTTCTTGTCTTGTTTACTTAAGTTATTTCTACACAAATCTTAATTGTTCTGTTTTTTGTTTGCTTATTACTTATATGAGTATACATTCTGCTTGGAAAATATTCCCTCTAAACCCTTTAGCTGCAAATCTGTCTGATAAAGAGTATTATATAACTGGACAAAAGAAATGCTCTGGTGAAAAGGTGATAGCAACATGTAAATATGAGGGGTGTATTGGCTTCTAAATTAGGTGGTACATTCATGTCCATTTTGTAGCTTCACATTACTACTAGCAAGCAGCTCTCTTGTATGGACTGATCTAGGATTAATTTTAAAAAAATGATACGACATATTTGATAACTGT